CCCTACACATCTGGGATAATTTCTGCAGACAACCAACAGCTTTTGGTACACAGCCTCTCCTACAAACATCACTAGAGTCAGAGGAAGTTCAAACACAGTATTATGAGAATATAAATCAGCAGAACTGTTACTGCAAAGAAGTTGAATAATTTTGCAAAATATTGAAAGTTTGTGACATATTGCAAAAACACACTGCATTCACCAGCAGTGAATTAAGTAATGAAGCTGAAATGAAGTCCTTGTTCCGTTTCAATTTCCCTCCTCAAATGCACACAAACCTTACTACCTTCCAAAAAAGGTAACACTACCTGCCAAAAAGGTTAAGCTGCATTTTTTCAAGAAGGTATAAAAAGGTATTTCACCTAAGTTTCAAGTTAAAACATTTTCACTTGAATAATTCAATAGCACTCATAAAGAGAATCAAGATTAGCATCTACCAGACATATATCACAACATAAATAACATATATCAGATACATAACAGAAAGGTATCCATACTTCTCATGTGGATTAAAAGACAAATGGCCAGGAACTTAATGCCTGTGCCTTTGGCTCCTGCAGAGGCACTCAGCCTTGCACATAATGAAAACCTGTATCTGAAAAAAATTAATTCTATATTCATTATGAAAATATACAGATTTTTTTAACCCTACCCTCAAACATTTTAGATATGAATTTTTTATACATCCACATACCTCTGCCAACAATGCTATGCCCATACTTCATTAGGCATAGCAGTAATCCTGCCTACTTCCCAAAAAACAGAAGATAAATTCGAGAGTGTGGGTCTCAAAGTCAGCATTTTTATTGTTGCACTGCAGCATTTGCATTTACCCAAAGCCTTTATCCTAATGCTATGTAGGAATCGTTTCTTGTGGAACCCTTAGTAAGTAAGAGCTCATATAAGTGCCAGTTCAGTAAAGTCAGATTCCTTACAAAAAAGGAGACACGATCCCCTCCAGTTCAGGATGAGCCATTTCAAACTGGGTTTGCTCTGTGGCTCTCCCAGTGTTTGGCACTTCTGAGGTGCCTCCCAAGCATTCTCCCAGGAAAGCAAGTCATTAACATGCTAGAAATTAAGATATTATATTAGTCATCTTTCAGTATTTTCTTTCACATTTAAAATAAACAGCTAAAAAATTTAAAAAAAAAAAAAATCTACCTTTGCCATAGCTTTATACTCTCTGAAATTTCAAAACCTAAGATTTCTGCCAAAATATTCACATTGCTACACTGCAATGTATCACATTTTCTAGTCTTATTTCTTTGTTTAAATTTAACACTATTGTATTACTTCTTTTTTTGGTTTTCAAAACTGTGACACTATACTATAAATGATTCTGGATGTGCAGTAAAGAAATGGTGAATGAGGCAGAAATCCTACCCTTTGGAATTTCCTGACTTTGATACTTATTTGCAGTTTTGATGTTATACTAACCTCAGCTTCCCAACACACACGTGTAATCTGCATTGTACAAATGCAAGTAGACATGGAGTTCATCACACACATACTCACACATTGATACACTTTGATTTCTACTCCAAGCCATGTCAGGACTCCCTACACTAAACAAACTAAGCAAGAAGGTCAGCTGAAGGAGGACAAAGCTCACTTCACAGCAGTTTCTTCCCTTGTCCTTTTAACCTGCTGTTAGCGGATTAGCAGGGATTGTTTATGAGGAGGCTTTTGTATAGTGTTTCTCATAGTGAAGGCATTTATTAAAATCAATATTACTTACAATACAGAACTTTGACTTATATCTGAAGAAGGGCCATTTGCTTTACACTCAGTTTGTCCATAAATACAACTCCATATTCCTGGAAGTTCAAAGCTAAGGCCACAATAAGACCCCCATGAAACAAAAGACAACATTTGGTTGTCTTTGGACCTTAGTCCAGCCTTCTTGTTTCATTCTAAAATCAACAAGAAATGAAAAGGTAACATGGGCCTTCATTAACAAGGACAGTTACATTGACAGTGGGTCTTGATAACTCTTCAGTATGCCCCTAGATTTTCCATGGTTCATTTGTACCAGTGATCAGTTTCTCAGATGAACAGTTCTAACTCAGCTGATAGAAACATTTGTATGAGGGGCTTTTGCAAGCCCTCACAATCTTGCTCTAGGGAATGTGAAATAGGAGAAAGCGGGGCTGGTATGACCCCTGCTTTCATTGGAACAGTGGACAACCAACTTGGGAAAAAAAAAATCCACCCCTGTTATCACACATATTTTTAAATGTGTAAAGGTACATAATGGCCAAAAGTCTTCTACGGTGGTCTTTTATCTATTAACGGATGGCATCCCAAATGACATTGGCATGGCAAACCCATTCGGCCGAGAGCACTGGTGAGCAGATCCTGCACAAGGTCACTATTCTCCGCCCCAGTGCTCTTTGTTGGGTTTTTCTGTCAAAACAAAGTGTCTTACAGAGCATTCTCTCCCTTCCACACCGTGCTTTTGCACTGCTGCTGAAAGCTGCCGGCACATGCCAAGAGCACCAGAGTTCCCCAGTCCACAGGGTGCTTCAGAGAGGAACAGCAGAGTTACCTTCTGCTTTCAGGAACAGCCCTTCCACTGCTACGTTTAATAACCTTTCTGGATGTACAGTTTGTGCGTTCAGATAGGAAGTTTGCACTTTAACGTGTAATCTATGTACCAGAGGAAAAAATGTGTTCTGACAAATTAGTCTTCTCAAAAAACAAGAGTTCAACTATTGGGGAAGGAGGCGATACATCTTGCAGTACACTCCTTGAGAGAGTTTAAATACTGTATGCCAGAAATTATCCTCTTTGAGCGCTGCTGACCTTTGATCTGAAGAACTCATTGGCCTTGCTGCTCCGGGGAATTATCCTTTGAAATCAGTTACTCATTTTGGAGCTCAGATGAAATGGGGAAATCTGGTGATCTCATCCTGATGTCAAGTTTCATTCAGCAAAATAAAATGAAATCTAAATGAGGAAACTTTAAAGGGGAATATAGGGGTATTAAAATAATATTTATGAGTGATCAAATAATGAGTCTGTGCATATATCCTCATGTGCCTTATCCATACCCAATGAACATTTAAAAATACATACTAGAGTGCAACTGTTTTGTCTGAGAAGAGCAGGGTAGTGTTTGGTATCTTGTTTCTATATTTAGTTTTGACTATTGACATGCACTCAGTTTCATGAAGGATACAAACACATGCTGAACCTACTTATAAATAAAATGAGAATGTCTGCTTGGGACAGTTAAAACTGGCAGCCTGTAAACAGAGATACTGCAGTGAGCCTCATGCCAAGGTTCAGATATATTCACAATGTGAACTTCCTTTCAGCTCTGCCAATGATATTAAACTAGACCAGACAAGATTGCTATCTCAAAGGAGTGTGGAGAATTAATAGACTTGCGTTTCCAAAGTCTAGGCCATCAGAAATAGGTCCACATACAATATATCATCTGTGCAAAAACACTTACTTACCTCCCCACTCAGCTAAGTCCTGACAAAGAGAACGCACTATATAGACGAATACACAGAGAAAACCTACCCTTGTTGTGGGAATCCACAACTGGGGGAAAAAAAATTATATTTATTGCTTCTCATGGGAATAACCATATGCTCTCAACAACACTGTTCCCTAACAGAAAGTTTCATGAATTGAAATACTGCATATGTTTTCTTTATGATGTTCTCTTTTCTTGTTCATTATTAATGGTCTTGTATTTACTTCTATAACCTTAAGACACTACAAAAATGCGTCTGGACAATATTTGAAATTGGAAAGACAATAAAGGAAAAATATTAACTTGGAAAAATTGTGAAATACCATTCTTTCATGAAAAACAAACTGACTGGCTTAAGTGTACTAGCAGATGTTTCTCTCTAAGATTGTTAATTACTACCACCCAATTGTTCGTAATTGAGGTGGGGGAGGAAGAGTGGGAGAGAATGAACACCAGTTTAAAGGTATTAAGACTCACCCCTGAAGAATTAAGTCTTTTTTTTCAGGGCTTTATTCATTCCTAAGAAAAAAAGGGGGTAATAATTCCAACTGCTCCTTAGGAATCACCAAAAAATCCCAGAAATGAGGTAAAACTGATTGCTGTGCTCCGTGTACTGAATGAGCATAGAATACTAAGCTTCAGACAGCCAAACCATTCTTCACTCACCTCCATCCTGCATCTGAGAATAAGAGAGGAAAAAAACCAGAAAGCCAAAATACAGCTGCAGTCAGGTTAAAAAATGACTGTTTAAACTTGGTGGCTTGTCATTTTGGATTTCTCCAAGCCTCATTCAAGCCAAGCACCATGCTCTTTAACAAATGATCCTCCTTCTCAGAGCAAGGACAGCGTCACTGTTTTTCAACTGTACTGAGCATTTGAGTCAGATGGATTAAGAGGATCTTGTGGACAGAAACAAAAAAAGGATGCAACTCTGATGAATGTTCAGGTCTAAGTTACGGCTACCAAGTCCCAATTTGCACAGCAGTTAGGAGAACTCAGGCTAAAGATGAACTACTTCAGAGCCTTTTTGGGATGACAGTCTTTCCAAAAGGTGCGTGATGGATCACGGGGCCTTAACTCAGAAAGCAGAACTACGGGAGAAGCTATGCAATTCGACAGTGATAAATTATGACTGGACCTTACCAGTGACGATTATCTTAACATCAGGGTCATTACTGTGTAATTGTTGAGAGAAAGCAGAGTAAAGGTAAAATTGGAGAACTGACAAAAATGCCACCTATGAAAGTCAGCATCTGGCATATATGAAACCAAACTCTTTGAAGTGAAATATTATTAGCCTTCCCCGCAAATTGGATAGACTGGACTCCATGGCAATTCTTTAAAACTACTAC